ACTGGATTAGGAAGGTATGGTTATTCGAATAGGTTAGAATGGAAGGCTAGGGAGATTAAATTAATTATCTTTTGAATGTTGAACGTACAATCACATGTAAACGAAAAACGTGAAAACTTTTCTCTACTTGTAAATTAAAAATATGAATAATTGCTAATTTACAAGAGATATCCCTAAAATATCAATTTTCTTTCAGGTTTTCTATAGTGGTGAATCTCACATCTCCCACTGGAGAAGAGTACGGACGCGGGAGTGACTCAAGTATTTATCGAGTGGACAACATAACGAGAACAATTACGTTCACATTTCAGGAAGCTCAGGTAGGTGTGATGCTGAAATTTATGTAATGTTAAGGGCATTGCGTGAATAAAACTGAAGCTACATGAGGCAGGAATATGATGATGGTTTTATTGCATAGGCTACTGTTCAATAGTATATTTTTTAAAAATCAGAAACAAATTCTCTGTCTCTGTCTGTCTGTCTGTCTCTCTCTCTCTTCCCTTCCTTCTTTTCCACTCAATCCATCTGTTCACCCCATCTCCTTTCTCTCTCCCCCCCCCTTTCCTTCTCTCGTTCCTCCCTCCTTCTCTTCACCTCTCATCCTCCATCTCCTTTTCCCTCTCCTTCTCCATTTCACTCTCCCCCTCACCTTGTCTTTACCCCACAGGTTGGGAAATGGACCTACAATATTTCTACCTCAGGCTACATTCCCTTTGACGAAGTCCTCGTGGCTGTTACATCACACCCCAGTAAGAGAACGCAAGAGGACCCGATAAGGTAAACATTTACACATTTGATCTACACATCCACCAGATCAGAAAATTACCTAAGTAACTCGACCAGTGAGTCATCAGTACTCTCTTATTAATAATTCGATCTAGATTTACAATCATTGCTAGTTTATAATGGTATTATTATTTCTGTTACATTAATTGTTATGTCATGCTTACACCAGATGATTGTTTTTCTTAGTCATATGATTGTTTTTTTTAGTCATTTACAACACAGTTTCTCCCTTATCACAAAATAATTAACATTCTGTAGCACCCTCATCATAACACCCAATATATTTCCAATCTTTAATTCATTCAGCTTTTGAACCATGTACAAAAAGTGTGGTATTAAAAAAGTGTTCGAAACTGGATTCAAAGCAAGAGTTTTGATAGAGACTGTACCACCTGATCTCTTTCCAATCTCTATTTCCTTCAAATACAAGGTGAGATTAGGATAAAGGATAAAGACGTATCTAATTCTGATCTTTAATTCCTTCTGACACAGGGTGAAAACTTGGATGTCTAGCAGTGAAGCAACTAACCTAGATCTATTTCCAATCTCTAATTCATTTAGATATAGGTTAAAGACTTAAAATATACCACATATTTTTTTTTTTTTTTTTTTTTTTACAATTCAGATATAGGTTGAAGACCTAAAATATATAACATTTTTTTATCTTTTTTTTTACAATTCAGATATAGGATAAAGACCTGAAATATTTTTTTACAATTCAGATATAGGTTAAATCCTAAAATATACCACATTTTTTTTCTGATATAGGTTAAAGACAAATTATACCACACACACACACACACACACACACACACACACACACACACACACACACACACAATATATATAATATATATATATATATATATATATATATATATACAATCATGAATTCACAACTTGGATTCTAAAGAAGCAACAAACCCCAATCTATTTCCAATCTCCAATCTTCAAACACAGATGAAAACCTGAACCTCTAGCAGTGAAGCGACCAATCTCTCATTGACATGTACCCCCTATTTTTTTTTTTTTTTTTTTTTTCAATTCATTCAGATGCACCACCTAATCTTTTTTTACAATCTCTCACGAAACCAAAGAGTGAAGACTTGGATGTCTAGCAGTGAGGTGACCAACCCAATCTATTTCCAACCTCTAATCCCTAATGAAAACCCGAATCTCTAGCAGTGAAGCGACCAATCCCTAATTCATTCAGATGCACCACCTAATCTTTTTTTTTTTACAATCTCTCACGAAACCAAAGAGTGAAGACTTGGATGTCTAGCAGTGAGGTGACCAACCCAATCTATTTCCAATCTCTAATCCCTTCAAACACAGGATAAAACCTGAATCTCTAGCAGTGAGGTGACCAACCCAATCTATTTCCAATCTCTAATCCCTTCAAACACAGGATGAAAACCTGAATCTCTAGCAGTGAAGCGACCAATCTCTCATTGACATGTACCCCCTTTTTTTTTTTTTTTTTTTTTTTACAGACCAATCCCTAATTCATTCAGATGCACCACCTAATCTTTTTTTTTTACAATCTCTCACGAAACCAAAGAGTGAAGACTTGGATGTCTAGCAGTGAAGCGACCAACCCAATCTATTTCCAACCTCTAATCCCTAATGAAAACCCGAATCTCTAGCAGTGAAGCGACCAATCCCTAATTCATTCAGACACCCCTAATCTTTTTTTTAAGACCAATCCCTAATTATTGCACCACCTAATCTTTTTTACAATCTCTCACGAATCCAAAGGGTGAAGACTTGGATGTCTAGCAGTGAGGTGACTTACCCTTCACCAACACGAGTCTACGCGTTCATCAGCCAGGGTTATAGCACAGTTATTAATGCTAATGTGACAGCCATTATTGAGCCACCGACAGAAGCTAGCTCGGTGGCTCTGCCTCTGCTGGACAATGGTGTAGGTAAGTGTCTGTGTAGTTGGGGGTGGGTTGATGGTGTAGTCGTGAGTGTGTGTGTGTGTGCGTGTGTGTTTTGGGGTGATTTTGTGTGTGTATTTTTGGGTGATTTGTGTGTTTTTGGGTGATTTGTGTTGTTTTTGGGGTGATTTTGTGTGTTTTGGGTGGATTTGTGTGTGTTTTGGGTGATTGTGTGTTGTTGTTGTGTGTTGTGTTGTGCATTCTGTGTGTGTTTTGGTGTTTTGTGTGATTATGTGTGTGTGTGGTGTGTGTGTGTGTGTGTGTGTTTTGAGGTGATTTGTGGTGGTTTGGTGATTGTGTGTGCGTGTTTGTGTTGTGTGTGTGTTTGAGTGATTGTGTGTGTGTGTGTGGTTTGTGTGCGTGTTGTGTGCGTGTGTTTGTTGTGTGTGTGTGCGTGTTTGAGTGTGTGCATGTGTGTGATTGAGTGACTGTATGTATGTGTGTGTAATTGAGTGATTGTGTATGTTTGTGTGTGTGTGTCTGCGTGTGCATGTGTATGTATGTATGTATGTATGTTTATGTATACACGCATGCTTACGTACATATGCATGTATATATATTTTTTACGTATGATCTATGCATCTACATGCAATCCAATGTTCCATTTCCCCATCAACCAAACAAACATCCACGAAACCCCTCACAACATAAGCGCCACACCAACCCACTACTACACCGACCCCTCACAACGAACGAACCTATTCACACCCGAACCCACCCCTCCACAACATATAACCCACCTACATCAACCCACTATCACACCGACCCACCTATCACACCGACCCCTCACAACATAACCCACACCGAACCCACCTATTCACACCGAACCCACCTATCACACCGACCCCTCACAACATAACACACAACCGACGAACCCACCTATCACACCGACCCCTCACAACATAAACCCACACCGAACCCACCTATAACACCGACCCCTCGAAACCCTCACACCGACCCCTCACAACATAACCCACACGAACCCACCTATAACACCGACCCTCACAACATAACCCACAACGAACCCACCTATAACACCGACCCCTCACAACATAACCCACACCGAACCCACCTATAACACCGACCCCTCACAACATAACCCACACCAACCCACCTATAACACCACCCCTCACAACATAACCCACACCGAACCCACCTATAACACCGACCCCTCACAACATAACCCACACCGAACCCACCTATCACACCGACCCCTCACAACATAACCCACACCGAACCCACCTATAACACCGACCCCCTCACAACATAAACCACACCGAACCCACCTATCACACCGACCCTCACAACATAACCCACACCGAACCCACCTATCACACCGACCCCTCACAACATAACCCACACTATCACACCGACCCCTCACAACATAACCCCACACCGAACCCACCTATAACACCGACCCCTCACAACATAACCCACACCGAACCCACCTATCACACCGACCCCTCACAACATAACCCACCCACCGAACCACCTATCACACCGACCCCTCACAACATAACCCACACCGAAACCCACCTATCACACCGACCCCTCACAACATAACCCACACCGAACCCACCTATCACACCGGAACCCACCGAACCCACCTATCACACCGACCCCTCACAACATAACCCACACCGAACCCACTACACACCCACCACCTCACTAACCCCACACCGTAACACACCGACCCCCTTAACCCACACCGAACCCACCCTATAACACCGACCCCGCCAAACCGAACTCAAAACCCTGTCCTTAATTTCTTCACTGATCGTTTCTCTCCCCCCCCCCCCACCTACCCTCCCCCCCCACCCCACCCCTCTCCCCTTCCCCTCCCTCTCCCCTCCCCACCCCCCACCCCCACTACCCCACCCCACCCCCACTACCCCACCAAGGAGCGGACTTACGGGCCGGAGACGGAATCTACTCGGCTTACTTCACGCAGTTCTCCGCCAACGGCCGTTACAGCGTCTCCGTTACCGTTTCCACGAGCAACCAGACGGCGAAGCTACAAGTGAGAGCTATCTATGTGTGTGTGTGTGTGTGTGTATGTATATATATATGTATATATATATATATATATATATATATATATATATATATATATTATATATATATTGTATAAATAGATATGTATTAGATACACATACATGCACATGATAGATATATACACACATATATATATATATGGTATATATATATGTATATGTATATATATATTGTTTGTATAAATAGATAGACAGACAGATAGATACACATACACATGCACATGATAGATATACACACACACACATATATATATATATATATGTGTATATATATGTATATGTATATATATATTTGTTTGTATAAATAGATAGACAGACAGATAGATACACATACACATGCACCCATACACATGTATATATAAACACCGCCTTGACATGGAAACCCCCTTATTATGACATCCCCTTCATCTCATCGGCGTTTCCCCTTGGCCTCGTGTGTCTCTCTATCCATTACTGTAATATATGCTGTCATATCATATCTGTCATATCCACGCGAGAGCCAGGCAGGCACGGAGGCACTGTTTCCATGTCAGAAGATGAGGCAATCGAAAGAATTAGAATGTTTTTTTTTTTTTTTTTTGCATGTCAGAAGATAAGATAAGAATTAAGATGTTGCATTTTTTGTTTTGTTTTTATCTTGGTAGGAAGGGATGTTGAAGGAGGAAGGAATGAAACAAATAAATGAGGTGATTGTATTGTGTGAAGGTATAAAGGAGGTAGGAATGATGTGAGAGAGATTGTATGTTGGATGTGGGTGGGTTTGTGATGGGTGTTTGGGGGGGGTATATGACTTTTTACTTTTTTCTTTAAAGTTGATATATGGAACGAGAGTGGATGTATATGATGGTTGGTTAGATGGATATATATCATATTTTTGTTGCCATTCCTCTTGAGAGAAAAAAAAAAAGAAAAAAGAAGGAAAGAAGAAGAAAAATATATATATATATATATATAATATATATATATATATATATATATATATATATATATATATATATATATATATATATATATATATATATATATAATATATATATATATATATATATATATATATATATATATTATATATATATATATATATATATTATATTATATATATATATATATATATATATATGTATATATATATATATATATATAATATATATAATATATATTATATTATATAATATATATATATATATATATATATATATATATATTATATATATATATGTGTGTGTTCGTGTGTGTGTGTGTGTGTGTGTGTGTGTGTGTGTATAATATAGGATGCTCTTAAAAAGGAGGAATATTATTCCAAATAGAGAGAAATAGATTTTATAAAAAAAAAAAATGGATAAGCAACTAAATATTTAAAATTGAAATTAAAACAGATAAAAAGCCTTGATCATATATCCTGAATATGTCAACGAAAACTAAGGAAAACAGGTAGGATATATTCAAAACGTAAAGGATATTGAAACTAATACAAAAAAAAACAAAAACATTTGAATTGATGAACAAGGAAAAAAACGTGACGTCACTCCCTTATAATCACTATTTTTCTCTCCCATCCATATCTGAATTAATCATTATCTAAACACTTCCTCATACTTCTTTTCTTTTTTTTTATTTATCTTTTCATATATTTTTTAATGTTTTTTTCACACTAAGTTTTTTTTTTTTTTACTTAATCTTTTCATATATTTTTAATGTTTTTTTTTTATCTTCACCCTTTTTCGTTTTTTTTTTTACTTTATCTTTTCATATATTTTAAAATGTTTTTTTTTCACGCACTTTTTCGTTTTTTTTTTTATTTTGGTTTATATATTTTTAATGTTTTTTTTTCACACTTTAAGTTTGTTTTTTGTTTTTTTACTTAATTTTTCATTTTTTCATTTTTTTTTTTTATCTCAAACTTTTTTTTCTTTTTTTCACTTTGCTTTTCATATATTTTAAAATGTTTTCTATCTCACACTTTTTTTTACTTTTATTTATCATATATATATATATATATATATTATATATAGTGATATATATATATATATATATTTATCTCAGACTTTTTTTACTTTATCTTTCATATATATATATATATATATATATATATATATATATATAATATATATATTATACATATTAATATATATATATATATATATATATATATATATATATATATATATATATATATATATATTATAATATATATATAATATATTATCCCACACTTTTTTTACTTTATCTTTTCATAAATTTTTATTTGTTTATTTATTTTAATGTGTTTTTTTTCTCACACTTTTTTCGTATCATTTTATCTTATTTATTTATATCTTTTCACATATATTTAATGTGTTATTTTTCTCACACTTTTTTCGTTTTATTTTATCTTATTTATTTATATCTTTTCACATATATTATTTGTTTTTTTCTCACAACTTTTTTCGTTTTATTTCATCTTTTCTCATACATTTAATGGTTTTTTTCCTCTGATTTCCAGCCTACAAGCCAGAGGACCCGAGATCCCGGTCGCTGTACCAGTACCAACCACGACCTCATACCAGCGCCATCAGGAGGTTCCGTCTCCCAGTACCGGAGAACTCGCTCCCTGACCCAGTTTCCCAGTTCCCCCCGAATGACCTCGTTCCCTCACTCGACCCCGGCGGGAACGAGGGCATAGGAGGCAGGGAATTGAATAAGGTTCAAGTGGAACAGTTTACGAGGTTCATTTCTGGCGGGATTTTCAAGGTGAGGGATGGTGAGGGAGGTGGGGTGAGGGGTGGGGGTGGGGGGAGGGGGGTGAAGAAGGGGAAAATGAGGGGTGGGTGTGAAGGCGGAAGATGAGGGGGCTGAAGGCGGGTTGGGGGGATGGGTGAAGGGGTGGGGGAGGGGTGAAGGATGGGGGGGGGTGATGGGGAGTGCGAAGGAGAGGGGAGATGGTTTGATGGTACACACATGTTATAGTATATGTATAGTTACATATTTCATATATGAATCTGTATATATAGAGAGAGACTAACAGAAATGCAAATAATAAACAAAAACAAATATAAGTTGAAAAAAAATGACTATAAAGCAATCTTAACAATTTATCCCTACCCCTCCCTAAAAGTATTTAAAACAATAATGATAAAAAACAAACAAAAAGATAAGAATAATATCACTTTCCCACAAATAAGTCAAGAGATAATGCTAAAAATAACAAAACAAAAAAAACGAAAATAAAACAGCCTTCCTTACAAACACAGAAAAAATCATGATAAAAAACTAAAACAAAAATATATTGTAACCCCTCTCTCTTCTCCTCTCAGTCTCTCTCTCTCTCTCTCTCTCTCTCTCTCTCTCTCTCTCTCTCTCTCTCTCTTCTCTCTCTCTCTCTCTCTTCTCTCTGTCTTCTCTCTCTCTCTCTCTCCTTCTCTCTTCTCTCTCTTCTCTCTTTCTCTCTTCTCTCTCTTCTCTCTCTCTCTCTCTCTCTCTCTCTCTCTCTATATTCTCTCTCTCTCATCTCTCTCTCTCTCTCTCCTCTGTAATATATTATATTATATAATATATATATATATATATATATAATATAACCCGCCCTACAAAGAAATGAAATACTGATAAACAATAAAAAAGAACAATGAGAACAATAATACCCATCCTATAACTCCATTCTTTTTTCCATGTCAGGTCAACAACTACCAACCAGGTGACATGCTGCCTCCAGGTCGCGTGACTGACCTGGCCGTATTAGTGACTCACCTGTTCGAATCGAGTGTCACGCTGAACTGGACCAGTCCCGGAGATGACCTGGATCACGGTACAGGTAAGTGTGTATAGTGTATGGTGCCCTGGGTATGGTGTTCTAAGAGTAGGATGGAGATTAAGAGTTGTGAATTGTGTTTAAGGTTGTTGTGTGTTGGAGGTATATAAAGGATAGTGTATAGTGTAGGTATAGTGTATTGTGCAAAGTATGGTGCAATGTGTATGTTGTATTTGTACTACCATTACATCATATCACTAGGTTTTATAGCGAAACATAAAATAGTAAGCTGTATGGTGTAATAATGTTATATCATTTATTCGGATGGAAAAAAATGTTTACATCGTAATTTTTATTTTTCATCTGTTTAATATTTTCATCTCGTTTATTCTTGTCTTTCTATTTTTATCTTCTTCCATCTTATGTGATTTTATTTCAGTCTGAAATTTCTCTTTTCTTATTTATTTTTCTCTGTCGAAATCTCTTTTCTCGTTCTTTTTATATGACGTTCACAATCACCATAACAATCATTTGTTTCATCATTATCATTATATCACCATATTGTCAATTCATTATCTCATTGTCATCATTCTCATCATTTGATTTTTCATAAACTAAATCAACAGCTATCGTTCTCCTCCTCCCTCCCCCTTATCATCTCAATACTCTATCATTATTCGTTTATATTATTCATTTTTTCATAGCCATCATCATCATCATTGCTACATTCACCACTACCACCCACAACCACCACACCTCCTACCACATACCCCATCCCCCCCCCGACCCCACACACAACACACACCACCCCCACCTCCTACCCCCCACAACCACCCCACCCCACCATCTACCTCTCCCCCACACACCACCCACCACCCCACCATCCTACCTCCTCCCCCACACCCCACATACCACCACCACCCCTACCATCCTACACCCCCTCACACACCACCACCCCCACCATACCCCCTTCCCACACCACCCCAACCCACCCACACCTCTCCCCCCACCCACACACACCCCCCACCATCCTACCCCCCATCCCCACATACACCCCACACACCACCACACCCCACCATCCTACACCCCCACCCCCACCATCCTACACCCCACACCCACACCCACACCCCACCCCTACCTCCCCCACACACCCCATCTCCACCCCACCCCCAACCACCCCACCCACCCCACCCCCACCCCACACCACCACCCTCCCTCTCCCCTCTCTCCAGCCTCCACACTCGAGTTAAGATACCACGAGACGACCCTCATCTACCTGGACTTCCTAAAAGGTCACATCGTCAATGAATCTCACTTGACCTCAGGTGACCTAACCCCAAGACAAGCAGGCGTGCCCCATGTCATCACTGTGAAGGTAATGTGGAGTATTGATTGATGGTGATGAGGATAATGATGATGATGGTGATAATGGATAATGATTGATGATAGGAGATAAGAAGAGAGGTAATAGTGATATGATAATTATGATATTGTTAACACTAATACGAATGCAAGTGCTAAGATAATGATATTGGTTATAATAATGATAATGATAGTTTTGGTGATTGTTATTATTTATCTATTATTATTATTATTCTATTGTTATTATTATTATTATTATTATTATTATTATCATTATTATTATTATTATTATTATTATTATTATTATTATTATTATTATTATTATTATTATTATTATTATTATATTGTTATTGTTATTATTATTATTATTATCATTATTATTATTATTATTACTATTATTATTATTATAATAATAATAATAATAATAATAATAATAATAATAATATAATGATAATGATGATAATTGATGATTATTTATGATATGATGATATATGATTATTGATTATTATTATTATTATATTATTATTATATTTATTACTATTATTATTATTATTATTATTATCATCATCATTATTCTTATCATCATCATTATCATTATCATCATCATTATTCTTATCATCATCATTATTATTATCATCATTATTGTTATCATTATTATTATCATTATCATTATCATTATAATTATCATTATTATTATTATCATTATTATTATCAATATCATTATTATTAATTTTGATTCCATTAAATTTTCATGTTGATCTGGATCGCAATTCGGATCCAGGAATTTTTTTGGAAATATTGCATTAATATCCTTATTGACATGTCTCATTGAGAAAGTTTTTATAAATGTTATTCTTTAAGTGTGAATATTTATTCATTTTTATTGCAATAAGAAAAAATAAATATTCTCTCAGAGAGTGCATACCTCCGCCACGGCAATAAGGTGGCTAATGCAGTAAGAAAAATAAATATTCACACTTAAAGAATAACATTTATTAAAAAACTTTATCAATAAGGCAAAGTTTTTTAATAAATGTTATTTTTTAAGTGAATATTTATTTTTCTTACTGCATTAGCCACCTTATTGCCGTGGCGGAGGTATGCGCTGTCTGAGAGCTTCTAGTTATGATCATTGTCATCATTAATATTATTAGATGATAATTTTATAATTGTTATTATTATTGTTATTATCATTATCATTATCAGTATAACTATTGTTTTGTTACTGTTGTTATTATCATTGTTGTTGTTATAATAGTTATCATTTTATTGTTACTACTACTACTACTATTATGATCATTATCATTATTATTTTTGTTATTACTACTATCATTGTCATCATTATTATGGTTGTTGCTACTTTTATTATTATTATCATTATTATTATTATTATTATCATTATCACCATCATTACTATTATTACGATCAAAATAATGACAATTACGCTTTTTGTTGTTGTTATTATTGTTATCATCATTATTACCATCATTATCATTATTGTTATTACCTCAGATCCCCGGTCGAAGTGTTGACAGCTTGGAGGGTCGTCCATTATTCTTCGCTCTCAAAGCCCGGGACGAAGTCGGTAACTCAGGCAATCTTTCGAACATTGCCACTGCTTATTTCCCTCTTAAGAAATATACTTATAATCTAAAGGTAAGGATAACGGTGTCCGAATACGTTGTTGTTGCTTTAACGTTGTTTTGATGGTATATTATTAGATTTTCGTGTCTGTATTCTCACATACATCATCTTAACTCAGTAATTGTACAGGTTTTTGGCTATGGCTTGAACCTGTTCGTATTGTATAATAAATTTACCTTCGCCAAGGAGTTATGTGTTTAGTAGCGTTGGTTAGTTTTTTGTTCGTTGGTTAGCAAGGTAACAAAAAGTTATGAACAGTTTTATTATTAATTATTATTATTATTATTATTATTATTATTATTTATTATTATTTATTATTATTATTATTATTATTATTATTATTATTATATTATTATTATTATTATTATTATTATTATTATTATATTATTATTATTATTATTATTATTATTATTAATTATTATTATTATTATTATTATTATTATTATTATTATTATTATTATTATTATATTATATTATTATTATTATTATTATTATTATTATTATTATTATTATTATTATTATTATTATATATATATATATATATATATATATATATATATATATATATATATATATATATATATATATATATATATATATATCCAGGATTTTTTTAAAGATTCAATAGCATAGCGAGATAGGGATAACTTAAAGAATTTTAGACTTCTCATTTTTCGCTTAAATTTCGTCTCGAACTTTTACCGTTAAATAATTTTCAAAAAACAATAGTTTGGCCATGCGATTTTCATATTTTTTCTCATTCATTCGACAGTCTTTTGTTTCAAAGTTAATGCCGAACTTAAAGCGGAAAGTTATGTCGAAATTCAAACATCTAAACGCTTATAAAAGTCAAAATATAAACTGACGGGCGTTATTAACAGGGAGGATCAATAAGTGATTATTTATTTTACATTCTTTATGATGATTTCGAATGCACCGAAGAATAGTAACACTGGATGTACATAAAAAAAAAAGTGAGCGAGA